ACACAGCGTCCAGCCAGTTCCCCTGGACAGCTGACACCAGGGCACAAAGGCTGAGGCCTTCTCCCGATGTTGCCTCCTGGCTCTGGGATTCAGAGGCTGACTGCCTCTGAATGCGGAGGTTCCCTTCGGTCACCATGGCTAGTAGCTATTGACAGATGTATCCTCTATGGATCTATTCCACTTTTAAAGCTGCCTATGCCTGTGGCCATCACTACATCCTCTAGCAGCGAATTCCACCAATGGAGGTAAAGAAGTATTTCCTTTGTCTGTCCTGAATCTACTGCCCGTCAGCTTTTTTGGATGACCTCAATTTCTAGTATTTTGGGAGAAGGGGAAAAAGTGTCTCTTTGTCATCTCTCTCCACCGCATGTATAATTTTAGAAACCTCTATCATGTCCCCCCCCCCCCTTAGTCGCCTCTTTTCTAAACTGAAAAGTCCCAGATTCTTCAACCTTTCCTCACAGGGAAGGTGCTCCAACCCCTTAATCATCTTGGCCGCCCTCCTCTTTATTTTTCCAGCTCTGCAATGTTCTTTTTGAGAAATCTGAAGGACTCTCTTTCTTCCTAGAGCTACACTTGCCAAATATGCTCAGCTGAACCCCTGTTGTTGATGACTCTCGGCCTCCTTCTCGGAGGTTCACCCGGCCTCCATTAAAGGAATAGCCATTTTTGGTGGTGGCCCGAACCTTGTAGAGAGGCCTGTCATAGGAGACCCAAAGGCAATCTTCTGTGGTCAGATCCCACAGAATGTGCAAAGCATTTTTTACTTCCCTGTAGGCAATTCCCAGAGGATTTTACAGCTATTGCTCTGATGAGGTACTTGGAACAAAAACGCCCCCAGGACTCAACAGGGATATTGGTTTCTTATCTCATTACATATGCTAACTCATTCAGTCCTGACCCATGTATTCTCATACAAAGGGACTATACATCCTCTGTATTTTAGTGTATTTCTTTTTTCAGAATAGTGTATTAGAATACTGAATGTAATACAAGGAACATTGTAATGCTTGGCTGACATAACACTGCACCCACCTCAAAAAAAGAAAAAAATGCTGTTAAGTGACCTCCACACCTGAGAGGAGCAAGTGGAAAGTGTCAGTCTTATTTTGACATATTTATTGCTTTACAACTGCTGGCCTTATAACCTTAGCTTGTTATTTAGTTTTGTCTTCGCATACCTCAAAACATCTTCATTGTGTTACATGTCAATTTGCTGTTCAGCCCCTGTCTATAAATTTGAACCTTACCATCCACTCCAATGTATTTGAAAAAGTGTGCCTGGCACTCGAAAGCTCATACCTTGAATAAACCTTTGTTGGTCTTACAGATGTCACTGGACTCTAAATTTGCTCTAAGTTTTTTAACAGTTTCTGATTGGGATAAGGTTTTATGCTGTCATTTCTGTCCCTCTGGGTTCCATGGGACCGTTTCTATGGAGGATCGGAAACTGCTTCAAGTCTTACATCCATGAAGCAATCCTCTCCCAGTTTGGTGTAGTGGTTAAGTGCGCGGACTCTAATCTGGCAAAACTGGGTTTGATTCCCCACTCCTCCACTTGCAGCTGCTGGATGACCTTGGGCAAGCCATAGTTATGTCAAAGCTGTTCTCAAGTGCGTGGACTCTAACCTGGGAGAACCAGGTTTGAGTCCCCACTCCTCCACTTGCAGCTGGCTGGATGACCTTGGGCAAGTCGTAGTTCTGGTAAGAGCTGTTCTTGAAAAAGAGCAGTTTCTGTCAAGAGCTCTCTCAGCCCCACCTACCTCACAGGGTGTCTGTTGTGGGGAGGGGGAGGGAAAGGAGTTTGTAAGCCGCCCTGAGACTCCTTTGGGTAGTGAAGGGTGGGGTATAAATCCAATCTCTTCTCTTCTTGTCTTCATTACCCCCACCTGTCACATGTCAAAAGGGCATCTTGTCCCAAAACAGCCAGGGCCTCTCGTGCAGCGTTCAAAGCATCGGCTGCCCCCGTATTTTTGGTCTCCTTGCCAGATGGTATATTGCACACAATTATTTACAGGAAAGCCGCTTGACACCACTACTGTTCGCAGTAATCAAATTAAGAGGGATTTACCTTATCAAGGAGAGGGCGAGAGAGAGAGAGAGACGGAGGCGAATCCAAATTAATTGGAGATGTCGTCCTCTCTGTTCCCCCGGCTTTTCAAATCGGAAGATGTCCCCGTTCCTGCAGAGTGACACGAAGAAAAGAATTTAATAAAGCAAGGGACGGTACGAGCTCGCTCACCTTGAAATGGAAAACGCATTAAGAAATGAAAGTTATCTATTGTGAAAGTTATCTATTAGCAGGCCCGGGCAGCTCAAGGGACTGAGTTGTCTTCCCTGACGGTTCAGGCTGGAGAGGCAGCACTTCTGTATTTAAAAAATAATAAGCAAAGAGGTAGCCACTGCTGTGAAAATTGCTGATAAGGAAAAGAGAAACGGGAGGACATGACCAGAGAATGAGACTGCCAGAAGAGAGCCGTGTTGTAACATTTACCTCTCTCCCCATTTTGTAACACCTGTAATGGCACCTCTGTAATGCTCTGAGATGGCGTGTGTTATGCTGTCCCCTCAGGCCCATAGCCAGGATTCTTTAAGTTGGGGGGCGTTTAAATTTCTTAGGGGGCACTGGCTAATCGAATTAAAGGAATACCTGGCTCCTTCCCCGCACCAGCCACCGCTTGGGGACCCTGGGCTGGATGGGAAGTTGTGGGCCTTGCCAGTGTCAGGGGGCCTAGCCCCAAGATGCCCCACTGTAACTATGGGCCTGTGTCCCCTTGACTTCTTTAGCATTTCCTAATTATTTCCGCTGCCACCAAAGGCTCTCGCCTTAGCCCTCTTAGTTCAAACCAAAGAACCAGATGGCTTAACTACATTTGGTAGAATGACAGAATGGTCAGCGTGCAGCGGTGTCTGTGAGGTAAAAGAGGATCCTTCATATTCAATAAAATGCCTGTTTTTACTTAAACAGAAATAGAGTTTATTAGAAGTATAACAGCGTAAATGTTCCAGTATGGTTCATAAGCGTAACGGTTTCAAGACAGGTACAGTTCTCCTACTTTCTATAAAGCTCCCTAAATAGTCCTAGCCACAAAGGCTATCATACTTTGGTCCCATTATGAGAAGACAAGATTCACTGGAAAAGAGAATAATGTTAGGAAAAGTGGAAGGCAGCAAGAAAAGAGGAAGACCCAACATGAGATGGATTGACTCAGATGGACCCTCACTGGTCTGATCCAGCAGGGCTCTTCTTATATTCTTATGAGGGGAAGGCCTCGGCCTCTCTGCCCTGTTGTTGGCCCTCCTGAGGAACGGGTTGAGGCCACTGTGTGAGGCAGGATGCTGGACTAGATGGACCCTCACTGGTCTGGTCCAGCAGGGCTCTTCTTGTGTCCTTATGAGGGGAAGGCCTCGGCCTCTCTGCCCAGTTGTTGGTCCTCCAGAGGAACTGGCTGAGGCCACTCTGTGAAACAGGATGCTGGACTAAGATGGACCTTCGCTGGTCTGATCCAATAGGGCTCTTCTTATGTTCTTAATGCACATATTATTATTTACAAAATATATTTAACATTAACAATATTATTCTTTATTTTATGATAAATGTTATATACAATATTTTTGTGTGTTTATATTTCCTAAAAAATAATGGACCTATGAGACCATTGTAAAATATTAATATTATTGTATGGAATATTTTCATATATGTTGGTGTTCAGATTTTATAACAAGTGTGAAACATTAATTTTAACATTTATAAAATGCTGGTTGGAGTTCTTGGGCTGGAAATGGGGAGGGCAGGGAGGTAGTCATGCCTGGCTTCCCTGCCCCGGCTTCTCTAGGCTGCGGGGCACCTGGAGGAGCTTGGGCAGGGAAGCCAGGGATTTTTTTAAAATGTCTCACC